TTTTTTTTTTTTGTGGCCAGTTTTCACTTAGTTGCTGAGTTACCCAAGCTGGGCTCATATTTGTAAACCTCTTGTCGTAACCTCTCAAAGTGTTGGCATTACAGGTGTGTACCTCCTTACCTGGCTTTAGAAAACAGTTGACTTAAAGAAAGATAGTAAAGTTTGATCAGATGTGGCCAAAACAGTGACAGTAGAATTTGAATGACTAACCCTTGAGAAAGATTTCATCTGAAAAATGCTCAGTACAAGGCAAAAGAATAGTGGCATGGAGACTAGAAGGAAACAGATTGCTGGGCTGCAGCCCCTGCCCCAGCCAGATTCTCTGGCCACATTAGTTTGGCTTCCTCATCCTAAGGAAAGTGCCTGCCCCTGGGGCAGCCTCCCCTCCAGCTTGAATTTACTAATTCCATGTAAATGCTAGTTTATAATATGAATTTAAATGTTTTCACAGTGTGAAAAAGCTCTAAAGGTCATAAACGATTTAAAAGTAGAAATAAATGCTGGTTCTGTCTTAAAAATGCTGCATCCCCAAAATGTAGTTGCCAAGTCCAAAATGTCAAACCTTGGCTGGATATTTAAATGATATTCCTTCCATATTCATTAGAAGTTGTCTTGCCTAGGTTGGATATCCTTTTTCTATTTATTTGCTTGGTTGTTTTTAATAAATACATTGAAGTGATGAGTGCTCATTATTAATTGCACTCATAAAATAATTGTGGATTTTTTGAGAGCTGTTCCTGAGTGTTAGCTAAGTAGGCAGACAATTGGGGGATCAGGAGCCCCAAATTAGATAAACATTTAAAAGGATTGGTGATTTTTCTTCAACTGTATACCTTCACTGAATTCATTGAATTCATGGGGAGAAATATCTATACTGTTCTTGAGGTAAGTCGTTTCAGTTCTAATCATTTTTAGTGGCCTTTTCTTCTTTTAATTAAAACTATATACAGTTCTGAAGAGGTTTGTTTAAAAATTCTTTTGGACAATAAAAACAATTTCAAACTTCAGTATTCCTTTCCCTAAAAGAAAATACAATTTTGTCTCTGAAAGATAGTGTTCAAGATAATCTCTTTTCTTTGATCACCACATAGATAACGAGTTTCATATCCACTCCCTTCTCTTCCTTCCCCACCCTCCCCCCACCCCGCCAATTACAGGTGGGTGCTCGGTATCACCCCACAGCACAAGATAAATAAGCTTGGAAGGTTTCCTAGCAACCTATTGTTCTGGGAACCTGCTCTGTTTCCCTGCACAAGATGAAGCCAAACATCCTCGAATCTCAGCCAAATGGAAAAGGATTACCTTATTGAGGGTGTTTAATCCATTCTTTTTTTAAATTCAGTTTGAAAATAAACCTCTAAACATAAATAGCAGTTTGACTTTTAGGGTAAAACTCTAAGTGAAAAACAATCTCAATATTAGTGTCAATTTTTAAAATGAGGTTTTAGAAGAATTCTCCAGGAACAGGCTTATAATACATAATTCAGCCATCGGTGAATGGATCCATTTTAGAACTGTGTAGAGAACACTTACACAGGACTGATATTCAGCCTGGCCCCCAGTGGTATTCCAGCTTAAAACAACAACAACAACAACAAAACTGAAATGCTTCGTATGTGGTGGGTGAATGGCTGTGGAGTAGATTCTCTATTCACAGTGCTTTAGATTGGCTCCTGTTCGTAGAGAAACACCTGAAACACCTTGTCAGTGCTTAAGACTCCTAGACTTCTTCCTTCTGCTCTTTTGCTCCAATGCTATTTTTTGTGTCAGTGATTTGCTGTTGATCTTGAGAGTCTATTTTTGGTTTTCTGGATGTATGGTTAATATATACATAGAGAGAAAAAAATGAGAGGAAATTGAGCCGCCACCATCAAAAGCAAGGAAATTACTGTTGCTGCTTCGTTAGCACATGATCCGTGTACTTTCCTTGTTTATCTAGTGATTTGTGAAGCCAGGCAGTTGACAAGTGGTATCTTCCTTTCTGTCGCACTCTAGCTGGTCACAGTGTGCTGTGGTAGGTCTCAAGATTAGTGTTCCCAATGACAGTATTCAGCAGTGGCTTTGCGGTTCAGTTCCAATCTGGAAAATGTCTTCACTTGTTTGATGGAGATATTTCCCCATCAGCCATATCCATATTCTCATAACGTGGCTGTTGAATAGTTCACACCTTCCATCGGGTTTGGACGAAGGCTGAAACTTCCCAGTTGTAGTCAGAGCAGATAACTCTAGTACTTCATGGGGCTCTAGGACAATAATAATGACGTAAATAGACTAAAAAAGAATAATATGGGTGTCCTTGTTTTTTTTTTTTTTTTACAAAGTCTACAGATAGATTTCAGAGAATTGAAATGGTCCTCAACCTGGAAAACTGTAAAATAATCATATTCATGTGGGAGCTTTTCATACTTTCTCTTCTCTCTTCTCCTAGTATGTACATTCTCATATAATAATATATGTGTGTATTATTTATTTTGTATTTCTATATTATATATTTTTTCTAAATATATTTTGGACTCAGTATGAAATATAGCCTGTAGAAGGCTTATAATGGGCAAAATCCTTTGGTATATATTGTGGTAAATACTGAGACTGATTGTCATTGTTGCTTTCACTGGCTCTACAAGAAGTCAGTAAAATACCATGTTTTTAATTAAAAAAATTTTTTTCAACTCTTTTCCTTTGCAATCTAAACATTAAGGGAATTTTTTGTATTTAAAGGAATTTTATAATTTTGATTATCTAAACAGGTTGAAAGTCGCTAAAAAAGAATAAACTACTGTCTTTTTTTTTTTTTTTTTTTTTTT